GGGTCTTCCCCTCAGTCGAAAGCGAATTGATCAAGCTGATCTTCGCGACTTTCCTTCCTCACCCATGATGCCGGGAGGGCATCCGGTGAGGTGGGAGGATTCCTCCCTCGCTGTGGGAGTGGCATCAATCCTACTCCCATCAGCTGCTGAGGGGAGCTGCCCAGTGGAACTGGGCAATCCTCCCATTTTGGCACTAACCCTTATGCGGCAATAAAGGAGGCACCGTTTTGCGAATAAGGCCTCAGTAGCACCTGAGTGGTGCTTCAAAGAGTCTCACCAACTTTTTTGGTTGGGAGGGTTCCCCTACTAAAATAGACAAAAAGAAAAAAGGGTACCCTTTTTCTAACCTCTCTACTGGAGGACCTATTTTTACTGTTTTGTGGTAGTTTCCATTTAGCCCACTAAAAGTCAGGGCAGCCCAGATACGTGGCTCATCGTTCTTGGAGGCGGCCCATGTTGGAAGCTGGTCTAAAGGGAAACCAAAGGTAAACCACCTTTGGGATTTTGCATCCATGATTTCGAAGCAACTCCATACAGGTGCCTGTTTTTGAGGGTACCCTTTAGCTTGGTTCAAAAGGGACAAGGCAAGCCACGTTTCTTTTTTTGTGAGGGGGGGAGGGGGAAGGTTCATACCCGATGTACCCACACACCCAGTGGGTTGCTTCCATTTTTGTGTATTTTTGTGCAGGGGTTCCATGAAGTACCAACACAAGGTGGCTGTTTTGCTGTGGACGCCGGGCTTCCGAGAAGAGGCTCCGTCAGATCTACTGGCAGTCTATGGTTCATTTGGGAGGGACATAGGGGCGTGAACCCCAAATGAACTCTAATTTTCTACAAATGTTCCTATCTAGGGAAGCAAGTAATTTTGGCCGCGGCTTGTGTGCGTGTGTGTGTGTGTGTGATTATTTTTGATATTCACATTGGGTGGCTTGAAAGGGGACCCAAGCGAACAGTGGGTTCGCCTATTTTCAGACTCACCCATCTGAGTTTGTTCGGGTGGTTCAAAATGGAGATGCCTTTCTTTTTGAATCCTGTAGCGACGGGTCCAAAATCGGAACTCCTTTCTGCTTGCACAACATGTGGTTTGCTTGCGGTGACTCTTTTTGGTTACAAGGTTTCTGACGGGCACCAACGGAGTCTCTGTACTGTGGACAAGTTGGGATGGATAAAACACGAATTAGCTACTGGAGTAAGCCATCCACCAGCCAGTGCCAAATGGATTTTGTAGGGAAAAGCAGGACGTGCGAGAATTTGAATGTGGGATCGATCCAGCTTTAGAGTAGTTTTCTCTTGGCTCTCTTTTGTGGTTGTTTTCTCAAACAAGTTGGCATCAACAAAAGACACGCACACGCACAAAAGTCACACCTGCAAATGAAGCCCACTTTAAAGTTTCCTGCCATTAAGACGACTAAATTTATCGAACTTCAACGAGACTCCTAAAGCAGTAGATGTTTGCTGGTTCCTTGAACAGACCCCCCTCAAAACGGGTGAATCTGAAATCCAAGGGTGATGTTGAGAAGCCAACGTCAACCTTTAATGAACCATCTTTTATGTAGGCAGTAGTTGATGTTTACCCCAGGAAGCAACTGCGGCTTCGGGTTTTGGGCGTCCCCATGTTTATTGTTTATGTTTGCAAAGGGCAGCCTCACTCGCCGCTATGGGTTCGTCCTTTTTGGGATTTTCAACATAGATGGTTTTCCTTTAAAATTCCCCAATTCACAAAAACAGAATCAGGTAATGTTAACCCCAGATTAATAAACCCCTGGTTGATTAATAGGGGGGTGTCCCCTTTTAGTGGGGATTCATCACTTTTGGAGGGAACAGCCCGTAATAATGGGACGGGTTCTACTTAGATCCTGGGTCAACATTACTGTACCAAGTAATTAGGTTGTGTTCCTTTAATTTCCCAATAAAAACACACCCGGGCAGCCTCCCAAGCCATTCAGAAGCCATACATCCGTAGCCCCTGCATTGGGCTCAGGCCAGCAAGGACTCCATCCGCGGCCTGCTCTTCCAGCACTGGAAGGACGCGGAGCAACGTTTGGGGGAAAGTAGATGGGTGCGGCTCAAGAACACGGGCCCGAAATGAAACATAAAGGAACCGTGGTGAATGGAGAAGTCGACCAAAGCCTGTGGCTCCCTGGAAAAGTTCAAAGTTAAGTTTTGAGGCAGGATTCTCCTCAAAAGTACGGTGAATTGTTGAGAAATCCGTTCGCAGCGCCTAAGACACTCTGGTTTCTGATGATTCTCGTGTGAAAATGCAAGCCTTGTAATGATAAGCCGTGCTGTTGAATGTAACCGGCGAATCGCAATGCCAACCAACCGACACGGCCGACACGGCCGACCTTCTCTTCTCTAGGTTTGCCGGCCATGGGTATTGGGGAGCCAGGGTGATGATAATTTGTCGGAATTTCAGAGCCATGCTTTTGGTTGTTTCTGTACGCCGAATCCGAACCGTACCCGTACCAAAAAAGCAGCAGTATTTTTGGTACAGGTCTGGGGTACCGGGGGTAACCTGTACCGCACCAGTACCCTACCCGTACGTACCCCTTGCAGAGGCCCACCGAAGTATTGCCGCAAAAACCACCACTTGGGCAGGCTGCTTGTCTGTAGCGCTCAGTGCCAAGCAACAGCTGGTTTTTTTCAACTTTCGGAGACAACAAGGGGATGTATCATATGGGTATGTGTCAAAGCTAGGGAGACTTCTCCAAAGAGTTTAGGTTGGGTTCCCTTTAAACATGCTCAAAAGGATCTCCTACTTTTGGCCACGTTTGGGTGCGCATCAGATTCTACAACATGTTGTTTCCTTGCTGTCCCCTTTAAATACCAACCACAAAGGGGCTCACCATTTGAAGACACCTCCGTAAGAAAGGAAACGGCCGCAAAACACCCAACTTGGGGTTGAAATCCCCTCTTGCAGGAGCCAGGTATAAGGGAAGGGATGATTCTCCCCCAATTTCGTGGGGAGCCAGGGAGCCACCAAGACTCAGAAAATGGCTTGGGCTCCAGAGCCTTGGTTCCCAGGCCCCAACTCCGACTGTCCTCTTGGCTTGGTCTCAAAATACATGTTGCACCCTCCCCCCCCCAACGCTCCCCTGCCCCCCCCGAAGACCAAAAGAGAAACAAGTGGTGATCTTGACAGCCCACTACCAACGTCAATTGCACTGTCAGACCCCAAACCTTGCAGCACCAGCATCAAACAACTGCACATTGCCCTGTCAAAGCACATGCCCCTGATGAGACAATGTGCATGGGACAGCGTCTTAGTTTCCTTTGGTTTCCTTTTGGTTTCCCTGGGCGGGACCCCCCCAAACAACCGCCAAAAATAACCGACGTTTCCTGGATCCTTGGCGGGAGGGGGAGCTCGGAGTTCGGTCTTTGGGAGGACTGCGGGCTCAGCCAGCAGCCTACCACCATGGAGCCGCGCCCTCGGTGTTTTGATCGCTTGGATATGGCTGTGGCTCAAAAAACCGGTACTAAGCTGGAACGGGTCCCTCCTGTCTAATTTTGAGCCACAACCATATGGGTGTGTCTCTTGAGGGTACCCTTCTCGGGTTGCTTAGAGAATCCAAACTTGACTGCTATTGGGTTGGATCTTTAGACTTTGACTTTTGGTTGAAATCAAGGTGTTTTCCACTAAACCCCCAAAAAGTTAAACTTTTTGCAGGGGGGTCAAAGGCAACCAAGCAAAAGGAAGCTTCAAGTTTCGAAGCGTTTCCCGATTTTGATGGGGTGCTTGGGGGCCAGGTCCTGCCGGGATTCCGCGCAGTTTTCTTGAACGGCAATACACATGCGTATGTGATTTCCTTGTCTTTTCTCCCTTTTGATTCACCCCAAAAGGGTTTCCTCTCCAAACACGCATGGCAGAAACCCGAAACTTCGGTAAGTCGGTTTCCGCACGGAGAAACGCCCCGAGCACCGCCCAGCAACGGCGTCCACTTCTCCGCCGGAGCGCTGGAGGGCATGCGCGAGCGCATGTTGCCGGGGCGCCCAACGCGCCCATGTTTTGGGTTTGGGACATGGGCGGGCGGAGATCGGCCTGTTCAATTCTTTACCATGGTTCTGGGCTGACCATTTTCGGGTTGACCATTTTCATACCGATCGGTTTTGATTATGCACATTTTCTTTTTGGGGGGGAAGCACGGGCGGAGTTTCTTTTTTGGTTGTGTCCTGGCATTTTTTTTGGGAGGGAAAGGGTGTTCAGGGCTTCGTGCTGTGTTGTTGTTTGTCCAGGTCAGCTGCATGACATTTCTGCCAATTTTATTCCGAGCTCACCGATTCGGGGGTATAACGAGCTCACCATGACAAAGGCCCTTTGCCTGCAGATCCCTTAATTCAGGTTTTTGGAAGTATAGTATCATTTGCGGATGTATGCGTTTAAAGCAGTGTTGATTTGGTTTTATTGACAATGGAATGTGAAAACAGTTTTTTGAAGAACGGTTGGCGTTTTTTGTTTGGTCTTGAGACGATGGTTAACAAGTTGAAGCAACACAGTTCGCGTCTGAAATCAATGGTTGAAGCAATTGTGTACAGTTGCATAGAAGTGCGGCAGTTTGGGTCAAATCACTCAGCCTTTGAAGCAGTTGGTGGGCCCAACCCCGCTGATGACTACATCTGCAGACCTTGTTTGGAAGCTACGTTCCCAAGCGAAGCTTTACATGGAAGATCTACACCCCTGCAGGTTAACATGGAACCCCAAATACTGCCATGCCTATAAGACTATTTGTTTTCTTTCTTTTTGTTCTTTCTGTCTGTCTGTCTGTCTTTCTTTCAGAGTTCTTCTTCATTATTTCTCTTTTTATCTGTCTTTCTCCTTATTTCTCTTTCTTCAGTTGTCGTTCTCTTTCTTTCCCGAGCTCTGTCTGAGCTCCCGTTTGACTGATTGGACCGTCCGCTTTTCACGGAACCCCACGGGTTCTGAATTGCACCTCCATCGTTTTGTGTGAGGAGAAGAACTCATTGATTTTTCAGGCACCCACCTGCAGGTGCCTGGAAAATGGGCCTTCTCTCATGACTTTGGTGTTAAAGTACCCTACAAACCCATGCTAATTAGATGCTATTTCTTTAGGCCTTGACATTCGTAGGAAGGGCTTTGAGACTGTACCTGTCCAAGAATCGGAGTCAAGCGATCGATTCTGGCGGGATACGGACCCCGAGAAATGGCTTCGGATCAACTTTTGGTTTCTCGTCAAACCAAAAAGGGTGAATCTCCCAAAAATGGACATGCCAGCCTTGGCCATTCCTGCGCTCCAGAGACCTGCCGCTCGACCTGATTTTCTCATGTCTGGGTTCAAAACCGATTCTGGCGAGGGTTGCAGTCGATCTATTAGTCAATTGGATGTTTAACCAACATGGTAGCTTATGGACTTAGCCCAGTTACACAAGTGACCTACTTACCTAAGCCAGCCCAAAGCCCACCCTGAACCCACTGTAAACCAACCCTTAACTAACCCCAACGCTGGTGGAGCACCCAGTGTCAGGCAGAAGCTTCCGTTTTCCAAGGCCTTGAATGGGGGCGTGGAGCATTGCCTGCTCACTACAAGCCCTTGGGATCATTCCCCCTGACGCCGGTTTGGGGTGAGTGGTTGGGGCATTGGCAGTTCAAGGCTTGAGAATCCGGAAGTAATTGCTCCAAACATGTCCAGTTTCGCAAGTTACACCCGTGGTTACAACCTACCTACCAAGTTGCGGGGGGTTGCAGCATAGCCTTCTCAACCCCTCCCAATCAAGTGCCCCAAGGGGTTGTAAACACTGGAGAGGCCCCCTCTCGCATTTGAGTGCACCCAGGTGGACCAACGCGGAGCTGTCAGAGGCCCGAGGGAGAGGCCGTGTCCATGTCGCGAATGGGCACTTAGCAGTGCGTCACTCTGTTTGAGGAGATCCCGTTCAACGCTTGAACCAAGAGGAACACCGAACATGACAATTGTCGTCCCCTAGTTTGGCACATTCCCATTTGGGCTCAAACTGACTGATGTACTTGGATAAATTTTAGCCGGAGGTCGAAGAGACCCAGAAACAGAACAACCAGTGGATGGGTTTGGGGCTGGTTGCCCTGTACCAGACATGTCGATCTGACTAAACCCAGCGAAAAATTTCGATCTGATTGGAGGGCTCCAGGGAAGGGGACCACCTTCGACTGGGCCTTGCGATTGGCTTCCTGTTCAAGGCCCTTCTTGCAGCGGGGACTGGCCCCTGTTTTGAGACACCCGTCTATTCCGAAGCTGGCCATCCGTTAGGATTCCTTTGCGCCGTTCGTAGTGGTCGGATGTCCAAACCGACCTTTTCACCTTTGCTTCTCCCATGGTGTTCCATTTGTAGAGGTCCCAAAAGGTTAATATGGAGGTGCAAGCGAGGCGACGTAAAAGCCACGCTGTTCAGCTCGCGCCCAGCTGGTGAAACGTGGTCCACTTGGCACAAGGCGTAGCTGCAAGGTTGCGAGTGGATCCAAGCTCGATGCTCTTTCTCGGGAGAAGTGGGCTACCAAGTCAAAGTGGAAGACAACGAAACAGAAGATGACGTAGAACAAGTGGAACAAGATGGTGCTGAATAAAAGAGAAGTATAAATTTATGAGCAAGAAAATGGAGGAAGAACAATTTCAAGAAGGCTTATACTAATTGTGCGAAGAGGGATATGAGGATTATGAAGAATGATAAATTAGCAATCAAACAAGAAGCCCGTGACACGCGCATTGCAATCGGCTGCTTCCGTCCCGGAAGGACTCTTTGGGCCGACTGCTCCTGTCGAGTGGAGCCGACGGACTCAGTTCAGGGTGCTGTTCGGGTGGAGGGTTGGGCTTCAAATCAACTCTAGATTTGGAGACCGACAACCCTCTCCTGTTAAATGAGAAAAGCAAGAAGGTTGTCAGAGGTTCCGAAGTCATGTCTATTGAATGTTTGGAAGCCCATGCTATCCTGAATCTCAGATGTTTGATGAAGCGTTTCAATCATATCCTTTGAGTAGCCATGGTAGGGGCTGTGTTTTTTTTTGTTTTTTGTTGTTTGTGAGGGTACCCTGTGTGGGGTTGGTCTAAAGGGCAACCAAAAGAAAACCTAACTTGTTTTAGGTCCCCCATTGACCTCAGGCCATGTAGATCCCACAGGACCTTGGTTTGGAAATCCGTGGGAGCAAAGAACCGGAAATCATCCATTCGCAGTGCTTCCAGTTTCCACTGCAAGCAACCAGGGATTTCTGCGATTTCTGTTTTATAGCGAGCTCACCTAAAGGTACAACGGGCGAAAGGCTGTTGGAACTATATTAAAGATTGCAGATTTCTCTTACCTCTGAGGTTTTGCGCGACGGTTTCTCTTACCTACTCTGAAAACTGGAAGCACTGGGACCGGTTGAATCATTGAATACAGTTGTCCTGGGACAGCCTGGTACCAGCAGCCAACGTGGTCATCAAAGATGCCTACCTTGCCCTGGCTTTGCTGGCCATGGGTCTTGATTGATTCGTTCGGCTTTTGAACCAGCTTGAGCTCAAGAATGGTGCCCCTCTTCCCTTGGCACGGGCGCTTTTGCTGGTTTGGGGGTTACCCGGACAGCAGTAAAAGCTGGTTCTCACAGCAACTACCCTGGCTCCCCTCTTGCAGCTCAGCGGGCTTTCCCGCAGAGTGGGAACAAACCACATTGTCCGTGTTCCAATCACCTGGTTCATCCTGTGCATGGAAGAGGTGCTGTGAAGGTGAGGAAACCACTTACTGTTGGGCCAAATCCTGGTCCCGGGATGGATGAACCCCTGTAAATACTGGGATAAACCATGCAACAAGGTGCAAAGTGAATTTTGCAACCACCCGCAGTGTGTAGAAAGCAGGATGGGCGAAGATCACCTCTAGCCCTTTGAAGAGGGCTAAGTTAGACCCACGTAGCCTCGCTGGCTTGTTGAACCTGAGCAGCCACAAATGCACTCCACTGGCAGCGGGTGTGGCAAACTCCTTTTTGGCCTGGTTTAAAGGGCAACCAAAGGAAAACCACAATTTTTGTTGGGGTCCTGCCAAAAAGACAAGCCCCCATTGGTTTGGGTGCAGGATTTGCCCGTAGATTGGGCGGCATGCAAAAAAAGCAATAGCGGTCGTGCACATGTTGGTTTTACGCGCAGGCTTTGGCATGCGCGGGGCCGCCATTTGAGACAGCAGAGGTTTTGTGTATACGTATCTTTCAAATCTATAATATCATATGGTGCCCTATATAGACAATATACATACAATGTGTATAACATGTTCTTACACAGCAGAATGTCTACATGTATGCACATTGCCCAGGTGCCGGAGAATTACTTGGAGGAGTGGATGAAGAACCCCTGGGTGGATGGATGGCACGTAGGCGTGGATCGAAATCGGATCGAACTCCGACAAAGCCAAAAGTTGCGGTGGCCACCGTGCCGTCGCGCCCATAATTGCCCTACGTCGCATCCATCACTACCCCCAACCCTGCCTGACGAACCCTTCCCTGCCTTAGTCACCTTCGCTTGTATTCATTCATGATATATATATATATACACGCAATAAGAGCGTATATGTACATATAAACATATCAGAGCCAGCGAAGTTCTTGAGGTGGCCTCAACATTCCTCGTCCCTACTTTGGACGAACGCCACTTCACACCTTTAGGACACCCTGGCTTCTGATTCGATTCCCCTGCAAAGACCAACAAGCAATGGTTTCAACTATGGTTTCAGAGTGCGAAATAGATTTCGCCCAGCCACGATGTTTCTCCTTTTTCGCTGCTCCATGTGGGTATGGGTCAAAACTAAACCACCAGAGGACCACAGGTTTTAGTCAATGTTTCCATTTACCAGGGTCCCATTTTGGGTACCTATTTTTGACCACAGCCATGTTATTTCCACGCTCTGGAAGTAGTGAAAGTCGTGCAAGAATGAAGGCTCGCAAGGATGGCTCGACCTAGCGCAGCCACATCCATTGCGCGCGTCGAACAGCTGAGAAGCTGTTTCGCACCACAAGTTGCTCTCGCTCCTTGAAAGATACATTTTGCCCAGTTGAAACATGTTTTTTCCACCAAAATAAAGGGAAACCACCATTTACAAGGCAGTGTTGAGGTGTATAATGTAAGGATCCCTGTCAAGACTGCGGTTTTCGAGCCAGAGCTGCAAGAGTGCCCAGCCTAGAGAGACAGCTCTTGGTGCATCATGTTTTGATTTCTGGCTTTGGTGTCGGGTGGGAGATTCCTGTAATAAGACCACCTTGTTGGAATACAAGCAGGCTGTCAATCTTGTCCCAACGGAATGGTCACTCTGAAGACCTGGCCCAAACCTCCGCCACTGTTTAAGGCTGTGATTGAGGCAACACGATGCCATGTGGACGTGGGTCAAAACAGTTTGGGGATCCTCTTTTGGGGGTTTTCGGTGCACCACCCATTTTAGAACCAATTTTCACGTGGAGATTGGGATGTTCACTGGGGGTACGGGATGTTGACCCATGGCCATGTTTGTTGGCCAAGCCCTGAGGTGTTTTTCCGGTCGGCGGGGCATCGGTACTTGGTGTCCCCCAGTCTTGGGCAGGCACCAAGCGCGTGTCCGGGCCTCTCTTCGCTGTCACCGAGGATCGAGGGATGTTCGCTTGGGCGTGTGGTCGCAAAGCGTGTCAAGGAGTGTAGACAACCATGAGAAGGACTTCGTGCTTGTTTTTCTTCGGAAGCGTGGCTCACACCAGGATTGTTGGCCGTTTTTGCTTTCTTTTAGTTAGTGCCATTTTGATTTATTATATATGTTTCTTGGGAAGGGGGGGGGGGTGGCGACCCTGTGATCATCACTTTTTGTTGTCACTTAATGAGCGTCTTTGGCTTTGGCTCTCGTCCATTTCATGCAATTCGGTGAAGAGAGTCGCCCAGAAACCAGTTTGAACCACACGGGCTTGTCTCAAAATGGAGCATGGAACAGCCAAAAAAAATCGTTTGGTTTCCCTAACAAAAACAGATTACCCCGGCACGAGACCCCAAACAGTGATAGGCGGCGGTCACACGCTGCAGAGTATTGTGCGGGCAGCGCCGCAAAACGGCGGTTGTTGTCAGGAAGCTGCAACATCATTTTGCGGTATTTGCGCGCACACTCACAAAGACGAGGACACGTGTGTGGGAGTAGAGACACACGCAGCACCAAGAAGAAAAAAGGCGCACAGGCATGGCCAGCAGGCATGCTCGTTTTTTCTTCCATGAGCAGCACATATCGGTGAGACGGCAGAATCGCAGGACAGGGCTGCTGGGATAGATGCGTGGCACTGCGCGCAGCCGCAGCAGGCCAGTCTGTTGGTAGATGCAAAGGCGCTGCGGTCAAGGCGTGGTAGCTTGTTGCTGCAAACAGCCGACGCGGCGCACGCAGAGTGCTAGTGGCAAGCTCTCGCAGCACAGAAGCGTTATCAAGGCAGGCCCAAAGACTGGGCTGTCTGGCTCGGACCCTTCCACAGCAGGCGTGTACATAAAGCGCGCGCTCCCAGATCGCAGGGCGCACAAGAAGGCGTCAAACTCATTTGGCGCCATGTTATCGAGGCAGTTCATGCGGCGCAGCGCTGCGAGGGGCGGCAGGCCGCCAAGGCGCGGATGTTGGTCGATCCACTGTTGCATGGTAGCTTCGTCTGCGCAGCAGAAAGAGTTGTCAAAGAAAGTCGGCAGGCGGATTTGTGCATGGATCCACTCGGGTGCATTCCAAGACACACGCACGTCAATGACATCGTGCGCCAAGAACCCTGGCAGCCACAGCCGTGTTGCCAGGATAAAATTTGCGTAAGCTTCTACTTCTTGGCGTACGGCTGCAGGGCGAGAAGCTTGTCCTTCACCAGCGCCCGAAGCTCTTCCTGCTGCAAACTTCTCCCACCTTGTTTCCGGCTAATCCCTGCGTTCTCGCACGCCGTCCATAAGCCCTGTCGATCCGAAGATAAACCTTCCAACAAAGCACCCGCCTGCGCAGCCGCAAGGTCTCCCAAGACACATGACCCGAGATGCTTGAATTCCGCGCGCACATCGGCAGGCGCGGCTTCCAGCAGCATCGCCAAGGTAACTTGCACGCTTTGCTCCACCAACGCGCCGAAACTCGGGCTCGTGCCCTCACCCGCGCGCGCGCAACCGCAGACGCAGTCATGCCATGCTCCGCCCCACCCGAAGCGTCGCTGACTGGCGTTTCTTTCAGAAATCGAATGCAGGCGCCGCGCAACTCGGAGCGCACACTTTGCGCTGCGCGTGTTCCGCCGCTGGCATTTCGTATTGCGATCCCCCAGACACTGCTCACTTTCCTGAGCTCATCTGCACCCGCTCCCAATGCACGAAGGAGCTCTGTCACTCTGGCCGCTTCCTGCGCCGCCACGAGGACCTCTCCGTACTCTTCCAGTTCCCTCCCCATCTCGCCAGGCACGGCGTAGTCCAGAAGAGCCTGAAATGAAGCCGCCCGAAGCTCTTCCTGCTGCCAACTTCTCCCACCTTGTTTCCGGCTAATCCCTGCGTTCTCGCACGCCGTCCATAAGCCCTGTCGATCCGAAGATACACCTTCCAACAAAGCACCGGCCTGCGCAGCCGCAAGGTCTCCCAAGACACATGACCCGAGATGCTCGAATTCCGCGCGCACATCGGCAGGCGCGGCTTCCAGCAGCATCGCCAAGGTAACCTGCACGCTTTGCTCCACCAACGCGCCGGAACTGCTCGGGCTTATGCCCTCACCCGCGCGCGCAGCCGCAGACGCAGTCATGCCCTGCTCCGCTCCACCCGAAGCGTCGCTGACTAGCGTTTCTTTCAGAAATCGATTGCAGGCGCCGCGCAACTCGGAGCTCACACTTTGGGCTGCGCGTGCTCTGCCACTGGCATTTCGTATTGCGATCCCCCACACACTGCTCACTTTCCTGAGCTCATCTGCGCCCGCTCCCAATGCACGAAGGAGCTCTGTCACTCTGGCCGCTGCCTGCGCCGCCACGAGGACCTCTCCGTACTCTTCCAGTTCCCTGCACGGCGTAGTCCAGAAGAGCCTGAAATGAAACCGCCGGCAGCACGGCCAGAAGCTTGTCCTTCGCCAGCGCCCGAAGCTAATCTGCGGTAAATACCACGGAAAATGCTCGCGGACAGAGCGGGCACCTCAATCTGGCACCAAGGCCTTTTCTCTTAGCGTAAGAACCCCTTAGTGTAGACACACTGTTTGGGGAACTAAACCTTGCAGGGTGCCCCGCAAGCAAAGCGCAAGGGTTTGCTGTTTGCTGGTCCCTCATCCTTGAACACTCGGAGAGACGCTCTTGAAGGGGCGTCCCCTTTCTTGTCTACTTGAAGCGTTCCCAAGGTGCATTCCTGAAATGTAACTATTCCTTGGAGGGCGTCCCCTCTCTTGGCGACTTCCCTACATTGAAGGAGGGTCCTTTAGGCGCACCTTGATGGAACCCTGAACGCCTTCCATTCGGGAACTTGTGTATGGCTCACATCAGCGAGTTGGGACATGCAGCTGCACTCTTGAACGGAAGGATCTTGATCCTATTCTGCTGCCTTTTTTTTGTTCTGAAAGAGAGGTTCAAACGAGAAGGCGGACCATGTTCATTCACGCAGTATGTCGCCAAGACTTGGTGGAGCCCCGGAAGGCACCGAGATGTGCCAACATCTTGAGACCATGGGTATTGGAGTGTCCTTTGTCAATTCCTTAACAGAAATCCCTTGTTGCAGGCCACACAGACACACACACACATACACACACACACACACACGCACGCACGCACAAGTGCCATGTGCGTCCCTTGCTGAGAAACGGTCTCGTCACTTCTTCCTGCCGACCGAGGTGACCCTGTGATTCTGTTTACCTCAACGTACATGCGGCCGACTGAGGTGACCCTGTGATTCTGTTTGCCTCTATACATATATATATATATTATAACCAAGGGAACCACCCTACAACCGAAGGTTACCTATGCAACTGGGATCCACTGGGGCAAAATAGCTACACGAAGCTCGACTATGATCATGATTCCGTTCGGCTTTAATGTAGTCCACTACAACCACATCCTGTGGGCATGCAACGCAAGATTCGCCAGATGTCAAGACTTGTGTGTCCTGAAACGGCGATCAAATTACTGCAGACGCGGACCGTATACCATACTTGCACTGAACAGTGGCGACTTTCGAGCTAACATGGGCTTCCAAAGCACTACAATCTGCGCAGAGGAAAACAACCGAAACGCACGATGCAAGGGTACAAGCTTACAAGGCTGGTTTCTTTTCCGCCCAGCTGGCTGGCAGACATAGTATTTCCCCACAAGAAAGCCCACCAACTCATACCACTCATCCTGACAAAGCAGATGCCTCCACTTCTCAAAGCAAAATATCAAGCAGCCCTTGCATATTTTACACAAGGCAAACTCACGAAACCTACTTCCTGGGGGGTTCCTCCATTTGAGCCACAATCAAAACCCGGGCAAGTGAAGGTTAGTAAGGGACAATCCCCTTGCCAGAAACAGCTGCGGATGTCCGCCTTCATCATTCTTTAGCATGGTTCTGGGCTTGGACCATGTTGATGACCGTGGGCAGTGGTAGACATGGATAATTTCATTGGCTCCTTTGGCCAGAACATGGTCTGCCGAAAGTTCTCCGGGGAACAATTGGGACCTCCCCCCCGACCATGGTTTTCATGGGAGTATCCAAACACAGGAACCCCCGGAGACACGTGGAATTCCCTGTTTTCCAGCAATTTCTTGGGAAGCCCCTGCAGAGTCCGGCCATTTTCAAGTGAGCCAGAGCGGCCACCATCATGAGCAACCCGCCGAGCTACGCTTTCTGAGAGTGTGTTCTGTTTTTCCAGTTGGATTTGGGGGGGCGATGGTGATAACTGGTGTTTGTCTTGCTTTTCACCACAGGTCCCTTTTAAGGGCAAGTCCTTTTTTTTTCTGGACCTTTCGGGAGGTTCCAGGTTAGTTAAACCAGAACACCACCACGGCCTCTGTAAAAGATTAGCTTCCCCAGGGCTTGGAGTTTTGAGGGGTAAGCTGGTGTTTGTCTTGCTTTTCTTGTGGCACCTGAGCAACAAAACTCCCATGGGAGTGCAGCCACCGCCCGCGCGCGAGAAAGGCTTCGGCCTCGGGCGCCGCGCGTCTCGGCTTCGCTTCGCGGGTCGCAGCGGCGAGGACTGCGACACGGTGACTTTCAGGGACTCGGCGATCCGGTACCTCAGGGAGAAGGCGCGGGGTTTCGCGGCTGGAGATTGGGGAGCCCAGGGCTTTAGGGGTGCATATTAGGGCTTCTTTTGGCGCTTCCCGTGGTTTTCTCTTTTCTTTCTTTCTTTTTTTATGGGCTTCCCGGCTCGTGAAAAGATTCCGTGTGGCCGTTTGGCCATCAAAGCAAGTTGGTGCAGTTTGGGTGGATCGCATCACACAATGTGTGGATACAAAAAGGTGGGGATCCCATTTCTTGGCTCGCCGCAAAGCCGGGATCTCCGCAGTTCGCGGCAAAGATGGCTGGGGGCTAGGGTTGCTAAGTCAGATGACTCATTCCCCTACCCCTTGAGGGTTTGAAGGGTAGACCGGGACAGCTGGTGCATGGGTTTTTCCACAGCTCCAACCCACCGCCACCCTAAGCTACGAATTTCCCCGGCGAGGGGTCGGTCCTTCCTTTGGTCGGGTTGCCCTTGGGTCCGATCGACTCCGGAGCGCCGTAAGAATTGGTCCGATCCGCTCGGCACTGGCTTTGATTTCTGGGGTGGACCCGGTGGGTTTTTTTTGGTTCGGAATTTCGAGCTGAGCTCCGTGCTTTTGGGGCTCCCAAAAGGGGGGAGTCTCAGCACAGCTTGTGTTTGGGGTTCTGAATAATCGGAGCAAGGACCCGAGGCCTTAGGTTTCGGTTTGTTTGTCAAGGCTTGAAGACCTGGCGGTGTGGATCCAACGCATGGAGAACCCCTTGGTTAAGCAACTCACTTCCTGGGTGCATGGACTCCAAAATTTGTGGGAAGACCATTTTAGTGGCAAGTAAGCAGTTTGAACGTTTTAGGCCATCCACTCAGGAAGCGAGGCAAAGCACTAGACTCACATGGCCATGGGTCAAACTCCCGTATTTCCAGTGAACATCCCAATCCCCACTAAAATAGGTTCTAAAATGGGTGGTGAATTCACCTAACCCCAAAATGGGATCCCAAAACGGTTTTGACCACCACAGCCAAATGTTGCGCCATGAGCTAACCACCCCCGAGGGCTTCTTTGACCAGCCCGAACGTCGGTCAGGGCGTGGGGTTGCACTGCTGGACCATTGCGGCGAGGCCAGGCCCTGCAGAGGATCCCTCAGTCGTTTGGCTGTGGTCAAAACCGTTTTGGGATCCCAGTTTGGGGGTAGGTGGAATTCACCACCCGTTTTAGAACCTAAATTTTAATGGGGATTGGGATGTTCACTGGAAATGCGGGATTTTGACCCATGGTTGTTTCGCCATTCAGTCGATTCGCCATGTGGAGCTGGCAATCGTACAGTGATCCTTGGGATTCTTTTGGACTCGGTTGCATACATTCGGGCTTGGGCGTTGCTCGCAAGAAAGGCTTGATGCCCTCCAGTCCAATTGCGCTTTTGAGCTTTGAAATTCTATACTCTGCCTTGGGTAAATCTTTTGGCCCAAAGGGCAGGGGTGTCATGGCTTGCATGAGTGTTGGCCATGCTTCTAGGAACAATATGAGCAGCTGCTTCTCGTTGGATTTGGCATGTGTTGCGCTGACCTGCCATGAAGGCTGTTTCTTGACTGACTGTTTGTTCGTGCTTTGGCCAGACGCACGTTCCATTCCAGGGTTGTGGGATCACTTGGGGTTTATCCAACCACTTCTGTGATACGAGAGAATCTCCTCCCTTTGAGGGGTTATCACAGATTCGTGGATTCCATTTCCCGCAGCCCCGTTCCATTCGGGTTGTGAGAGTGAGGGTTGGTTCCCACATGAGCCTGGCCCCTCCCAAGTCGGCAAAGCTAAAATCTTACCTTGGACACAAACACGGGGGATGCGACTGATTTTCTATATATCTGATATATATGTATATATATATATATCAAGTTGACACCTGCAGTTTGTAAGTAGAAAGGTAGAAGGGTGACCATATATAGATACAACATTGCATGGATGCTGAGCGGCACTTGTATGGCCATCGGGGTCTTATTTGTTTTGTTGCGAGTGCCAGGATCACCTTTTTCGCTTTTTCTTGTTGGCTATCGCCTTAGGTTTTTTGCTTTTCAGGATTTAGCGGTAGTGTCCATTTCACCGACTAGGAGTTGAACTCTTAACAGGGCATCCGAAAACGGACAGCCCAGTTTTGATTTTGCCCTTTTGGGTTTCCGTTTTTCACAGGGTGAAAGTAGATAGGGCATCCATTCCGTTGCTAGATCTACTTTTACCCAACTGAAATAGGAACCCCGGATTTATGAGCCCCTGGTTGATTCATAGGGGGTGTCCCAATTGTAGAGGCAAAGCTTCGATTCCACCAGGTCGGTGAATTCAAGGTCGACATTAAGCAGAAGTAACCAGGGGTCCTTTTTGGAGGGTACCCTTTGTGCAGACAACAGGATACGAAAAGGCCTCCGCAATTGTTTGGGGTTCCGATTCCTACTGTGGATGGACGAAATCCATTTCCCACCGGTTGAGACCATTGTTGAAGTGTTTCCGTTTGGGAATCGAATCAGAACCAGGGTTTCTTAGGCTGTTGTGCGAAAAGGATTGGGATTTCGCAACCATCCAAATTGTTGAGACAACCCCCGGTTGACCTTTGGCATGTCGAGCAAACCCGCTGGGCCTTCACGCTGAGAGCTTGATTCGCCATGCTCGAAAGCGGTTCCGCGGAGATGATCGGCCGAGCAAAACCATTTCTCGCGTCTCAAGAAATCCGCCCCAATACTTTGGCCACTCTACAGGACAAAAGCTTCTGCTTGGAACTTTCTTGCCTTTGGTTCTGCAACTTACCGAGCCATGGCCTCCTTTGATCCATGAGTCGCAGTTCTGTCCCCAAGTTGTTGCTTTCCTCTTGGTCCCTTCACAAACCAACCGGAAAACCAGAGGGAGCCAACCAACAGAATAGGTACCACACACCGACCCGCTTGGTTTCTGGATCATCGATGCATCGTCTCCGAAAAGTCGTGGGTGCCTACTGTGTGGCTGAGGGCTCAGGCGGGTCGTTTTCGCTCTTCACGTCGCACAAAGAACCCATGAATATCCTTGTGGAATCCTAAATCGGGGGGGTTCGTATTGACGGCAGGTTTGCAATGACCAAATTATGCCATCCATACGTGCCCCTCCCTATAAGGGGGCTAAGTGCAGGGGGGGGGGGTTGCTTCGGGCTCCCGGGACTTCCTTGAGCCTTTTAGGGAGCCTTAGGGGAACCCTTTCCCATGGACCACCCCCGGCGTTCAGGATTTCCTCAGCAGACCAAGGGCTCACCCACGGTGGACCTTTTCTTCGCCTGGTTGTTCTTGCATTGGTTTCTTTCCACCAGCCGCAGCTCACACTCCTAGTTATTTGATTTTTGTTTCGACCATTTTAGTGGTAAACAAACAGTTTGGTTGCTTTTTCTCGCCCATCCAAGCGAGGCTTAACTTGTTCTTTCTTGGGGGTCGAATCCATTTGGCCCAGAGAGGCTGCGGCAATTTTCCTCAACAAAAAGACATGACAACTTGCGGAACCCCTCGCATTTTCTACGGGCAACTCACGAAACCTACTTCCTTGGGGGGGTTCCTCCGTGTGAGCCACGTGCTCAAAACCCGGGTAAGTGAAGGTTTGGCAAGGGACCATCCCCTTGCCATAAATAGCTGCGGATGTCCGGCTTCATCATGCTTGAAGCATGCAACCCAGAACATACCGGGTTTTGATTATGACTCACATGGGGAGTGGTAGACATGGAGAATCCCACTGGTTCCTTTGACAAGAACATGGTCTGCCGAAAGTTCTCTAGGGAACAATTGGGACCTCCCCCCCGTACCATGGTTTTCGTGGGAGTATCCAAACACAGGAGCCCCTATAGACATGTGGCTAGGTCCCCCAGTAGTGCCCTTTTACCCTTTTTTGGGAAAGAAAAAAAGGGTACCCTTATGCTAACCTCTCTACTGGAGGACCTAGGTGGGATTCCCTTGTCCAGCAATGTCTTTGGAAGTTTTACTGGGTTTCGACTCATGCAGATGGCCATTTTGAAGTGAGCCGAGCTTCACTTTGCACTGAAATTGTGCTCTGTTTTCCGGGGGCAATGGTGATACTGTGGATGGTTGCGAAATCCAGTTCGCACCACCTAAGAAACCATGGGAAGCCATTGTTTGTTGGTTTTTACAGGGAAATCACCATTCCAGGGTTTCTTGGGTGGTGCAGGATTTCGTCCATCCACAGTAGCATTGGTAACTGGTATGTATCTCAGTGTTTGGGATTCCCGCCGACAGCACGTTCTCCCAGGCACAGAGTCGACAAGAGCCTTGAGCCTTGCCATTGAAATGGGGAAATGTTCTGCACCAATGGCGAGCTCAGGGTAAAACGAGCTGATGCTTGGTGCGTTGGCATGAGTGTGAAGTGCTTTCTGGATGCTGTCAAAGTGACCTGGACCAATCGATCAGTGGTCAAAAAAATAGTATATATGAATATATATATATATATACATATTCACCATCGTGTCATTGATTGTAGTACAGGTGTGCCATTAGGTACTCTCGCCAATTTACCGTCAGCACTCGGTGAACTGCCCATGTTCATTGGGGGGCACCGGCTGATTTTCGACTGCTCATTTGAGGAAGCAACACATCTTGAGCATTCGGCTTCTGTCTACTCCCCGCATTCGAGCCTGTAGCCTTCGCGAGGCTTTGCACACCACTGGTACGTCAAGCGTGGCTTGGCATCAGAGGTTGATTATCGGAGTCAGTGAGGGGGCACGTGTCTTTGCTTGTTTTTGCGGGTTTCCCTTGGAAGCACTCCAGACCTTTCTTGCCTATGTGACTTTCTGACTTGGCTCTTTTTGTTTCTTTCAACCAGCTAGTTCACTTTGCGTTCGAAGTCTGGCCCACCACTCATTTCCCGGCCAGCGGTTGATAAGAGCCTGGGACGAGTGCGATCGAGTGGTGCAAAAAAGGCCAGCCTTTTGTCAAGCGAGTGGATGCCATGTCCCCGGAAAAGGGTGGAAAAGGGGGGCTGGTTTGTCCCGCCATCTAAGAGGGTGCCCTCCCCCTTCTTGATGGACACACTCATTTCTCGATTTCGGGCCCGTCAAGGATCATTTTTTGGATGCATAGGTTGGAGTGGCCGGAAGGCATCCCGACATACAGTACCCAAAACGTGTTATATATAGATAGGAAAAAGTTGTTTTTGTTTTGTTTTTTCTTCGGGGACCCCAAACAGGTGTTTTCCTTTTCATTTCTCTTTAAAGCCACACAAATGGAGTACCTGGATCGCCAGTTGCTGGTACCCTCAAAAAACCACGACGCACCCATCTGAGTTTCCCGTCGGCCGAGTTGAGAGAAGCTTGGGGGGCCGAAGCGAAGCGGGCAGAATGGTTCCGCTGCTCTTTGCCTTTTCTGGGCGGATCCGAGGGAAGGCAAAACGACGCCCCTCCATGTGTTTTTTTAGTTTTTTAGTTTTTTGTTTTTTTTGGGGGGGGGACCTACTTTTCTGGGGGCAGTATCTAACCCAGGGACACAAAGCAACCCCCCATCCAAGGGTCTCTTTGGTGGTGATTCCTTTGGTTTCCCTTCGAACCACTCCCTGGGTTCCCGGACTTGGGTCACTTTTTCGGGTCACCCATGTTGGCGGTAAGATACAAGGCAGCCCAGCTCTCCCAAAAAAACTTGTCACAAAAATCAACAACTCCACTGGTTCCCACCGAAAAAAAAAAAAGAAACAAAAAAAAAAAGGATTGTTTTGGCCAATCCGCTCGACAAACTCGGCGCCAAGCTCCAAATCCGCCGCGCGCCCCGGTCGATCCCGGTCGATCGATCCCAGGCCGTGCCCGCGGCAGCGTGGCGCCCCTGGAGCCGGTGGACGAGGCGGGGGCGTCAAAGGAGGCATGAGCTGGTGCTTTTGGAGCCCAAAAAATGGGTGAACATCAACCAATCCCCACGTGAAAATTGGTTCTAAAATGGGCGGTGCGCCGAAAACGGCCTCTTGAAAGTCAACGAAATGAAACAACTGGGGATGGATTCTGGTGAAGATCCAAGCATGGTTGTTGTTGGGAAACATTTTTCACCTGTTTGCTTGTTGTGGTTTAGTGGTTGAAATCCAACCACTTGACGGCTAAAAGTGAAGAATGTTTGCTCCCCTTCCA